CCCCAAAACCCCAAAACCCCAAAACCCCAAAACCCCAAAACCCCAAAACCCCTTATGAATGAAAAGTAATTGAACGTTGGATAAAGTATTCACAAATTGAAGTGAGTGAGAAGTAGGTATAGTTTATGGGCTACCTTCATCCTCATCGAGCATATCTAATCTGGTAGAATCTTGAATATCCTTAGTCTCTTCATATCTTTCTTTGATTTCTGGATTTTTGTCTGTATGCTCAACCAGTCTCTCTTGCTCATTCTTGAAGCTACTATCACTCATCACGCTATAGCTTTCATTCTTTTCTCTATAACGAGTATAGAGGAAGAAGAAGGCTCCAGCAGCGAGTAAGAGCAAACCAGCTAGAGGGAACCCAATAACTCTGAAATAGAAGGCTCCATTTACATAAGAGTTGACAAATCCATATTTATTCAAGAATACTTGCTCATTTATCTTCACTTCTGCTTGGGAATTCATTAATGGAATGAAACCGGTCACTTTATCAAGATCAGGGAAGGTCAGATATTTCTCATGCACATCAATAGCTAAAATTAAGTGTTATTTTAGTCAAATGCAATAAAAAAGGGAGAAGAGTATTAGTGAGAAATTTAGAGACATATTGAGTAGCTTATGCTTCTCAGTATTCAACTTACCTAACATTTCGTTTCTCTTTGAATCAATAGTAAATCCAGAAACTGGCTCAATAGAGAAGAAATTTTCAACATTTCCATGCATTGAAGAGGGTTCCTTTCCATCAATTTTTACGCTTCCATAGGTGCTGCCTTCGACTCCCTTGAAATATCCAGCTGAGGATCCAAGGGGGAGTTTGAAAGTGTGAGAAATATTATAAATACCATTGTAGTTGAAAAGTCTATCCTCGTTATCTTCATGAGACACTTGAAGAGAGTCTTGGTCAAGATCATATTTGAGAGTATTGATATCATCGAAGGATTTAGTATCCACATATTTGTATTGGACATCCTGAATCTTCTTAACATCAAAGTATTTAGGTTTGCTACCTTTTCCAAGATTCTTACCAAACTGAAGTCCATCCGTTCCTTCAAGCCTAATGTTTGTCTGGTATGGATTCAGATTACCATAGGTGATATTAGTTCCGTTAAAATAAGGAATGACGTTGTTAATATAGACACCTCCATTAATGGATCTAGCAGACTTGACCTTCTCTGGATGTCTATTTCCTGTAAATAACTCGAGAGTGACATCTTCAATCAATGTTCTGTTGTAGTACACATCATTAATCGAAACATGAGTTTGTACTGATGGATCACTACCTTTACTAAAATCTCCTTCTCTAAGGATAGAGAGAATATCATCTTCATAGCCGTTAATGAAATCAAGAGAGTCCTTTCTGATTAAGATACCTCCTAGAAGAGAATCTTGGACCATATATCTCATCGTACAGAATAATTTGGCAGCATCAGTCTTATACATCTCAGTGTAATTAGAGAGGTTTACTCCTTGATCAACATCTATCACAAAATTAATAGCATTTTTGTAAAGAGTAAGACTGTGATCTCCACTTGTCAGAAGCTTATATGTTTCCTCGCTGATGCCTTCCTCTTGTTCGCATTTGTTCTTAGCTAAGTATGGGTATTCCATGGCAACTTCTTTGTCATAGTTCCAATCTTTGACAGACTCAGCCTCTTGTAAGAAGTCAGTGACACCACCGTATTTGACTATCTTAGAAGTAATTCCTGCAGACATGAATTGTCTATGAGCAAGCTCTTCTTTGCTGCAAGGTTTATTCGAGCATTTGAGTTGTTTGGAGATATCCTGAATCACACTATTAGCATAACCTCCATAATTCTTCGAAGAGGAGGTACTGAACACTTTCTCTAACTCTTCTGTTGTAAGATTTGTTACTTGCGAAAGATGTTGGAAAAGATCACTTTCTGGTCCTAGCATGAAAGCCTTGGACCACAGAGTAGTTCCTTCATACTTATCAAATGGAACTTTAGCACAGGCAGCTTCAGCCCTTTCCTTTTCTACTCCTTTTGACACAAAGTCTGTACATTTCTTTTTATCTTTAATTAGAGCAGCTCCGATGTACCTTGAGAAGAGTTCATAATACAAGAATTCACCTAGATTTTGTTCTGTCTTCTGAATAGCATGAGTGACCAGGTTTGCAAAGGATTTGTGCTGCTTGGTGCCCTTTTTATCTTCATAATTTCCAAGCTTAGGGATAACGTAGTCGATCAAGTACTTATAAATAGCATCACATTGCTCGTTAGAGACCAGCTTGAATTTGATTTTGATGTTATCATAACTTTCTGTCAAGTAAGAACTGAAGAACAAGTAGAGATTAGTTGGGTTGAAGATGGAAGCAGAGTCGTCAAATGAGGCGATAGATGCAAGTCTAAGTGCCTGAGTTAGGTTTAAGGCCTCAGCACTAATGTTGTTTTTAGCTAAAGCATATGAAAATTCTGGTCTTGCTCCGAAAAGAGAGTTATCAAGGTCATATAGGGATTCAACAGCTTTCACCTTTGGAGAGATAAAGGTATCTTGAAGGTTGGTGACATTTTGGCTTGACCATTGGATGGCAAACATTGTGGTATTATCGCAAGCTTTTCTACAGTTGTACTGAAGAGCGAAACTAACTTGTGTTGCAGAATATAATGCTTTCAAGAATGATTTAGTGCCTACTATTTGATCCATCTGAGCATCTTTAAGGCTAAAGTGGCTTTGCAGAGACTTATACATATCTGAAGTGGCTCCTCCTTCGATAGCTCTAATCCATTTAGAAAGACTTTTGATGGAACCAAATCCCATTTCTTCATCTGAAAATATAGCTTCAGAATTCTTAATACCCGCAAGGACACTTTTAGTCACAATATTCTTGTCATTCATAGCAGTGTAGTAAGCATTCATTGAGAAGACATAAGGGACAAGATTTTCAATCATCTGTTCAGCGCTGTCCTTCAGTAGAGAATAGATTTCCTTAAAGTTCTCTTTATCAGAGAGCAAATAATTAGTAGAGAAGGCTCCAAGATTCAAGAGATAAGGAGCAGCTTCATTAACTTTCTTGTCCTTCTCTTTTAATTCTTGGGTTTGTTCAAAAGTAATAGTATCTTCCTAAAAGATCAGAATAGGTGGGACTTACAATAACACTATAGCTAATTTTCTCGTATTTCTTCTCTACATTGAAAGAGTGATCGCCAGCGGTCTCAACAGAAAGGAGATCAGTTACCTCCTTGGTTGGGTACCCGAACACTTTGTAGTTCTCAGTGGAGTCAATGTTATAGTTTCCTGGAGTATGTCCCCAGTACTCTATTTCACTTCTATTTAAAAGAGTTAGCAAGGTAAGCATGTGATTTCTTGAAACAATTACGTACAAATATAATAATCTCTCAAAATTGCTACACTATTCAAGATGGATATGGATTCTCAAATTCTCACAAAATTTTATATGAGAGGAAGTCCTTAAAAAGAACTGGCATTCACGACTTCTTAGTGCACATGGAGTAAGAGGGTAGAGCAGGATTTATTATCTTAACTGGTGTGCACAATTCCTGACATACTCTGATTATCAAAGCTTTGAGAAATTTTAATAATAGTATTATTTTCATAACTTTCTTAGCTAAGCAAGCCAAATTCTGGCATTTTCAGAAATAAAAGAACTTACTCTTTCAGCAAGATTTTTGCATCAATCTTCTTGCCAAGTCCTGCATTGATTGCAATTGGCATAAAGATAGCAGCAAATAATGCAATAATTCCTCCGATTATTCAGCTCACAAAGAGTCAGTGGTATGTCTATGAGAGGTTACTTCATTTGTTGCTTCTAACTTAACTTACCTTAGCTTTACCGGTTCTCTTGACTCTCGGGATATTCTTTGAGTCTAAGTCAGCGTTCATTTCTATTAAATATACTATCAAGCACTCTAATTTATAAAGGGGTTTTGGGGTTTTGGGGTTTTGGGGTTTTGGGG